TCCCCTCCTCCTCCTCCTCTTCTCCTCCTCCTCTCCTCCTCCTCCTCTCCTCCTCCTCTTCTTCTTTCTTATAAGTTTAGAAGTGTTTGTTTGTTTGTTGACTTTGATTTTGCTGTCTCGAGACAGGGTCTCTCTGTGTAGCCCTGGCTGTCCTGGACTCACTCTGCAAACCAGGCTGACCTCGAACTCACAGAGATCCATCTGCCTTTGCCTCCCAGAGTGCTGAGATTACAGACGTGTGCCACCGCGCCTGGCTTTAAATGGAGGTTTCTGAGCGTTCCTCTGTGTAGCCCTGGCTGTCCTGGAACCTGCTCTACAGAATAGGCTGGCTTCTAACTCAGAATGATCCCCCTGCTTCTGCCTCCCGAGTGCTGGAATTAAAGTCATGTGACCCCGCCACCTGGCTTGAACATGCTGTGGTGTTCAGAGGTGAAAACAAGAGCCCACGCGAGACAGGGAAGGTCTGTGTCCTGAAGACAGGAGCCCTCAGGTAACCTCTCGATCCATGCCTTAATCCGTGTCCAGTCCCTGGACAGGCTCACGTTAGAGGCAAGCTACCGAAGTGGGGTCTCCCCCAGACTGCACGCATGCACAGCACCCTCTTCCCTGGTCCTTGGTCCACACCACGTGTTAAGGGCCCAGGCCTAGCAGCAGGTGGCTTAGTATTCGGAGACGTGGCCGCCAGCTGAGGCCAGCCACCGAGTTCAGTGTCCTTCCACCCGGTGGGTCCTGGCTCTCGCTCTCTGCCTCCACTCCGGCCCTCTGTTTTGTGTCACACTTGGAACTGGAGAGGGTCCCTGAGGGTCTGCCGAACACTCGCTGACACGGCAGTGAGGCTGTGTCCCCAGAGCCCTCCTCTGGGGGACCATCAGTCCTTTGCAGTCGCTGGACATTCTGTGATAGCTGCCCACGATGTCATGCCTGCCGCTGGCTTCACCTGTGCGTCCTGGACACAGGCACCCAGACCCTTGGAGAAACCAGTTTCCCCACCTAGCTGGCCTGACCACCCCTCTGACCCTTTGGAGCAGTGGTCCTCAAACTGTGAGTCACAACCCCTTTGAAGGCCAAACGACCCTTTCACGGGGCCACATATCAGGTGTCCTGCGTATCAGATATTTACACTAGGATTCATAACAGTAGGGAATCACAGAACTGAAGCAGCATTGGGATAATTTTATGGGTGGGGTCACCACAGCACGAGGAGCTGTGTGAGGAGCTGTGTGAGGAGCTGTGTGAGGGGCAGTGTTAGGAGGGTGAGAACTCTGCTCTGGAGCCAGCCGCTTACCAAGAACCAAGTTCCCCAGGGCAGCTGTAGAAAGAGGGCAGCAGACAGGGCCGGGCTGGCCCTGTGGAGACTCAGGGGCCCCCGAGTCCAGCTGGCCGCAGGGCCTACCATGAAAAGCATGGCTCCCCTCCAGCCTGCAGCCTGGGCTTATGCTGGCGGGAGAGAGGCTGGCCGGGGAGGGGGGGGGCAACACTCTGAGGTGGAAAACAACCCCGGAACAGCCAGTTCTGGGTGTCCTCAGCCCACAGCCACTCTGGGCCCTAATAGCCTGGCTTGAGGCAGGAACTCGGAAGGATTTGACCTGTTCGTTTCCTTTTCTGGTGCTCTGATAAAATCCCAGACAGATGTAAGGAGGATGTAAGCAATGTGAGGGAGAAGCACTGATTTTGTGTACTTTTTTATTTATTTGTTGTTACTATCGTCTTCCTCGGTACCACCGTCATTATTGTTTCTGTTTTCAAGACGGGATTTCACTGCGTAGCAATGGCTGCCCTGGAACTCTTTATAGACCGTTGGCCTTGAACTCAGAGATTCACCGGCCTCTGCCTCCCAAGTGCTGGGGTTCAAGGGTTGCGCCATCACGCCCGGCAAACGGGTTTATTTCAGCGCGTATTTCCAAACAGGCGTCCAGCATGGCAGGGCAGCCACGCTGACAGGAGCCACACGCAGCTGTGGTCGGGAGCAGGGAGCAATGGAGGTGTGCCCTTAGGCTCATGCTTGCTCGCTGAGTGTTTGTGTGTCTGCGCATGTGCGCACACACGTGAATGTGGGTGGCCCTATCTGACCATGAGGGCCAGCAGAGGGCGCCACAACTGCTGAGCTGGAGTTTTGTTGCCATCCTGAGCGAGCAGCAAGTTCTCTTAGCCTCTAAGCCATCTGCCCAGCCTGGCCTTTTCCATTCTTCTAGAGTTCAGAGCTCCTTCCTAGGGAGCTGAGCAGCCTACCTCCATTAGTGAAGATAATTCCCCACTGAGGCTGCTCCAGGCCACAGCAGACCGTGTTAAGCGATGGGCGGGGGGGGGGGGGG